TGGTCAACCACAGCACACCTCACACAGGAGAGCTGTCTGTCAGCCCAGGCCTCGCGGAGAGGCCCCAGGCACTGCCTGCAGCCTGACACCTGCAGAGCTGCATCTGCTGTCTGAGGGTCTGTCTGGGTTGAGGCCTCAGACACAGCCAATGCAGCACCTCCCGCAGCCACTGGGGAACGTGCTCTGCGGCGTGTCATGACCATGCCCGGGGAAGGACACACCACTGTGCAAAATGGAGAGATGCCTTCTTTGCCTTCTGGCGCCCTTCTGCGCGAACTGCTGCGCAAACTGCTGCATCTGTTCGCTGCCTCTGTTGGCTGCACTCTGGGAGCTGTGCTCTGGCCTGGCTCTTATATAGGCCTCTGCCTAGCAGTGACTCACAAGGGTGCTTGACCCACCCAATCAGGAGCCACCTGGTAAATTACTTGGTTGAGTACTGGCACGCATAATATAGTCAACAGGTTTCAGCATGGTGATTTATAAATTCTGCAACATAATTTAAAACTCCACTTAACAAAAATAAGAGAAATACATTGCTTGATGTACAGCAGGCCAGCTGTACATCCACATGATTGTGGACCGATTTATGTAATTGTAAATCGAAACTTACTCTGTACTTCAAGTCTCTTATTGTTGATCAAATTAATCTTATACTTTAATTTATTATCCTGTAGTTATTCACATAATTCTCATTTGACAGTTTGTTTGAGTAAACCCCAGATTGCAGCTAGCACCATGTGATACAGTTAGACCTCAGTGCCACCTCTTGTGAATTGTTTATAAATACTGCTGATCAGCTGCTTATATATACAACTTTTTTTCTTTTCTTTTCTTTTTTTTAAACTTTGAGCGAATCAAGATTTGTAGGAAGAGATGATATGTTTTATCAGGCTAACTGATGAGACCAACAAACAAGCTTTTGGACACGCAGGGTGTTCTCCAGGACTCTGAAAAATAGCTCTGATAATTTCTATTGGTCCTTTGTGTGTTCTGTTTTCCAAAAAGAACTGTGGCAAGGGCGGTTGTAGTTCTTCATCCCTTGAAAATGGCTGACTGGAGACTACTTGTAAAGTTGGGGAGTAAGGGCTTTCCACGTGGAATTGAGAAAAAGATTGTCTAAAATTTCCCTTTGTTGCTTATTCACACAGGAGCACTACTGGGAGCTTTCTTCGGATGAACAAGGCTAGAAGGAAGTCCTTTTTTGTGTTCCTCAATTTCATACAGGCATGAACTTGCTCTTTTGGAGACTGAGCAGAGAAGGGTCAGATGCCAAAACCTAGCATAGGAATGGCTGTTAGATCCCTGACAGAGAAAGCATTTCTTATCCTTGACAGGCTCACTACGCGTTGCCTAATACAGGAATCCATTTTATGCAGGATGAGGACTTCTTTTTTCTGTTTATAGAGTTGTTTCAAGTTAAATTTCTAACCCCATCTGGAGCTGCTGGAATTAGAGCTTGCGGCTTTATTTTAGGCCTGGATATATGGTAGAGTCTATGTTGATGCAGTTCATGTATAGATTTTCTTATGGTGATAGTGTTATACCAGTTGTCTCTGCAGATCTTTTTATGTATCATTAGTGTTCATTACTGTGGTCTGCAAAGTATAACTTACTCCCTTCCAGAGGTAAGCAGGCTTCATCATAAGTGATTCCTTTCTTTTTGAGAGACCTCAGAAAATCTTAGTCTGAAGTTCTTCATCTGTGCTTTTTATGAAAAAATCCAAATGGTTTTGGCACGTAGGGTAGACTGTGGAATGTGAAATATGCGAATGACCCCTCAATGTGATTTTTAAAATAGATCCAGAGTTTGTATTTGCCTAGTGTATTTGCTCATCTTCTGCTAACATGGCATAGCTGTTATACTACTACCAAACTTCTCTTGTCGATTTGTTTCATGACCTAACGTGACGGAGGGTTTTACATCTTGGTTTTCAAAAGTGTTATTTTAACTGGTCCCCTGAAAGGTTAGATTTTCTCTTATCTCGTAGCTCCATCTACTGTTGGTGTACTTGGTTCTGCTCAGTTTCCCTCTTTTTCAGTTTTCTCTTAAAACTCAGGAACACAGCTAAAAACCGTCATCACCCTTCATGCACTCCTGCAGTCCATTGCCTCCTCTGTCCTCCGTGTTCTCTTCCAAATTCCTCTGCTACTGCCTTTCTCTCCCCTAGATTTACTTTCTTAAATGCTGTGAGCACTGCCGTCACAATTCCTCTGACCCACAATTTTGGGCGTCACTCAGATCTCTTGCGGTCATAGCAAAAAGACTGTTGCATGTGGGGGATTCTGCAGTGTGGTTAACAGCTGTTGGAAAAAGCCTCTTATCTGTGCATACATCTAATCTTTTCTCCAGATTCTCATTATCTCATGTCTCTGTTATTATAACAGACTGACTTTGATAAATGCAGTCTTAGTTCACTCATATCAGTTTGAAACGTTTCTGCAGTTTTTAGCCTGCTGTTCTGATGGTGTCATTGCCTTGTTTGCTTGTCCCACTCCTGGCTTCTTCTTGTGCGTCAAACATGACTTTTGTACTTCTCAGGCTCTTCACCATGATTCCCAGTGACTTGTCACCTCTTCTCTGTCTCTCTCAGTAATAAGGAACCTATTCTCATCCTGATCAGTCCGGGACCCAAGCCTTCATTGTTCATTTTTTGCATTTTCAACTCAAGACCTTTATACTCTGATTGTTGCAGCATTTTACACTTCAGAAAATGCCAGCGTAACATCTGGCAAGCTACCTGATTATTCTTCAATTATTCATATAAAGTCTCTTTTCTGTAAACAAACCACTGTTTTGAGACTCTTGTCTGACCAGTATTATCTGATTATCGTTCATGCTCCCTTCACTTTACCTGCATGTGTCTCTAGCAACTTGTTTTGTTATAAGCTGTTTGGGATAGAAAATATCTTTGATTCTGTTTTGGTACAATGACAGGAAAAATAGCACGTGGCCCGTGACTGTGGCTCTGTGGTGGTGTGGAAATACAGAGGATTCTATTGTGCTCTTCTGAAATGTTTTAATTATAGCAGCTTGCAGGTGAAACCTGGCCTGACTGGATGCTTAGAAACTTTAAAAATTGGCTTATGTGAATACCACACAGGAGGTACATGGTCCTCAGATTCTGTAATGCATCTCTTGCTCACGCTGTACCTGAGTCCAGTCTTACTGGAGCTTATCCATTATTCCTGATAACATGAAATCTTCTCAAGTTTTTGTTGCTTATCTAAAGAAGACACGAAACAAACAATTAAAATCAGCTAGCATTTATTCTGGGAAGATATAAATGTGGCAGCACTGTTCAGCTGCTCTTTTGTGATGATTATTAATCATTCAGGATGCTTTATGAATGCTAAAAACTATCCTGGCACAGTGCAGTGGGGAATGGCATGCTTCATCCAGAGCTTCTAATGCTATCAGCCGTAGTTTATCATAGTTTGTCTTTCTCTGTGCAAGGATATACAACAAAAAGTATCTCTGTTCTGAAATGTTTCTCTTGATACCATACCTTTATGGACTTTGGAAGAGGTGTTTTTGCTGACAGTGAGATACAGTAGACAATGCCAGGTTTTCTACTGATCTTTGGTTTGTTTTATTGTTTCGCAGAAGGAAGAGTTTCCCAGCACGTCAGCCTAATTAAACCACTGCTTATCCGTCCAGTCCAGAACTGCTTTGTAAGTTACTTGCTTTTAAATTAGAAATTACAGTTGAGTGAATTTGCAAATGTGGTGCTAATGGCTTCTTTCTCTGTTTCTTAAATATACAAGTTTAAGTTTATGGTCCACTTGTTTTATTACCCTTTTGACTCAATTGTGCATATATGGATATATTACTAGGCTTCACATAAGTTATCCTGCAATTAGTACAATTAAACTGATTAAGAATATTGGTGAACAAAGAGGCTGTTACTTTAGGAGGTAATTTCTAGATCTGAAGTATTTAACAGCAGTATTGTCTTATGTAATTTTTTAAATCACAGCCTGCCACCATCTTTCCTGTGGTTTCTGTGGTGGCGCCAGACTGTGAACCGGATCAGGAGCCAATTTTGTTCTTAAAGAACAAAGCAAAACACGCATACTTTTTTTATATTGTGCTGTCATCATTGCTGGAGTAGCACACTGTGCCGTGGAAACACGAACAAGTCATTGATGTGGGAAGAAAGGTCAGGGAGTTGGTAATGCCACTGAAATTTTTGTAACCTGAACCTATAGCTTAAAATAGCCAGGACCCAAAAGAGACAGCTTTGTTAATTGAAGAGGCAGCTTGAGTGGCAGTGGGGATTGACTGTAGCATTTGGGGCTCAGGTTGTTGTCCCTGGAGAAAATGGTGACTGGTGAATTCTGACATAGCTGTTATTGTTATTTCCACAAAGAGAGCCTGCTGAGTTTGTGTGGGATTAGTCAGGGATCATGAAGATGTGGATGACCACCTGTGAAGAGAAAACGGATAAAGTAGCAGATGGAAGCACATTTCTGTACTGTAGGGCTGCCCAGGCAGCTATTGGGATTCCAGAAGTACTCCCAAATTGTAGGTCACTTTAACAAAAATGTAATGCATCTTTGGCACTTGCCTAGCTCTTGTTTAGTTCAAACTAACCTCAGTAATTTTCATGACAAAACTAAGCCAACAAAAAGATCAGCCAGATGTTCCGTCTTGTTCTTGCTCTATCTAAAACAGACCTCTTCATGGCTGAATTTTGAACTCTGTTGTCACAGATAAATCTGTATGTAACATTGACATCAAATAGAGCTGCTGGGATGCAAAGCCTACAAACTAATGACAAATACTGGCTCAGTGACCTAGATTTAGAAAGATGTCTTTCTCCCAGACTTTCATTATATATTTCAACAACTATCCAACTTTTCAAGCCCAAAGGAATCCTCTTTCTCCAGTCCCAAAAGAGTTGTATCTCAAATCACCCGTGTTACCTTGCTGTGGCTCTTGCAGCCTGCTCACTTTCAGACGAGTAGGGAAGATATAATGCCTAAGTGTTACCTCCTAGAAGAGAAGAGATGCAATGAATGTTTTGGAGTTCCCTAAAGTTCACACAGGGAAATGTTAGTGGCCACTCCGCCAGACAATTTCCTGTGGTGTACCTGAATGTCTCACTCCTTGGCAAATACCAGCGTGTCGTGGGAGCCCATCGCCATGGGCTCTGATTAGTCTATTAAATCATCCTGGAAAAATTAGGATGTAGTTCAGTGATCAACTATGTCACAGTCACCACGAAGTGGCCGCTCTGCTGAAATGCTCTTGAATGTACCGTTCGTTGTGGCCCAGCATCACCAGCTGACTCTGGATCACCCAAGCAAATCTCATAGTCGACACTCGTGGAAGTTTGAACCTTTTCTCTGCCATCAGTTCATTGCAAGAAAGTCCACGTTTACCCAGTACTGAGGGAAAAGGGGGTGCTACCTAGTAAAGGTTGTGGAATTACCTTGTGTACCTTACCACATTGCCTCAACTCCAGGCTAAACAACTAGGAGTTAGCTGGTCTCATATTCCCAGCTCCATGTTCTCCAAGATATACCAAAGAGCATTGCTGTGTTTTTTTCCCTTTGCTGTTGCATGTGATTCAAGTGTTAACTGTTAATGCTTACACTGAATCTGTTTATGTTACTGTTAAAGCTTAAATCAGTGATTAGAACAGCTGAAAAATAATATCCTTTTCCTGGAAATAACAGCTAGTACTAGGCAGAACTTATTAATACACACTTGAGAAATTGTGGGTGGATGATGTATTCCCAAGGGGTGAAGTAGCTGACAATAGCATGGCAACTGACAAACAGCAACAGAAGTCTGTCTTGGCATTTGTATGGGGCCAAAGAGAATTCATGCTGTTCAGAAATCAAGTGGATAACAAAGTATTGGGCTGTGGTAGGAAAACAATATCCAGGCTCTCCTGGAATTCAGACAGCACTCACATTGTTAATAAGATGCAGTGGGCTTTTGGTGATGTATGCATGCATATGTATTTTCTAAATTACAGTGTGTCCCTAATTACTTACAATTCAAAATACTGAAAACGATTAGGTTACATTTTGACTTATTTTTAAATTGAAATGCTTTATAGGAAATGTGAGTGTTTATTTAAAAAAAAAAAAAAAAAAGCCTTAAATGGAGCATCTGGGTCCAGTGCTGATCCTCTAACAAGAATGCTGTGACCCCCAAAGATTCATCTTAATCAACTGCATTTGCATTCTGTAATTAAGGCTTTGTTGGCTTTGAATATTTTATGCTTAGCTTGGAAGCCTGTTTGAAACTTTCTCAAACTCGAATAGGTTTTTCACAGTGATATTGAAAGTGTAAAAACCTGCAGATGAGGCTCAGTTCTTGCAACACAGATATTAGTAAACTTTCTTTTATTTTTTTTAAGTACGCAAGATTGCACAGTGGTTGAGTTTTGTTTAGCGTAGCAGCTTGACGGAAATAATGGAATTGAGGGCTGCTATTTAAAAAGTTTAAAAAAAAGGAGTTTGTTTAAAACATCTAATTTCAGTTGTTGCTAAGTCTATTGCTTCTTGTATTATTAAATGACATGGTGACTTTACAGCAATTAACAAACTCCTTGTTTTGATATACCGTTGGTGCTTCAGCATGAGTTGCCTAGCAATGTCAGGCTGGTGATACAACCAGAGCTTTTGCCTAGGAAGTCTACATATGTCACTTTTCTGTCAGATGTTGCCTATTTTGGTTCTGAATCTCTTTCATAAATGCTTGGATGTTCACTGCTTGGGGATCAGTAACAGAAGAAACTAGGGGATGTGATTTTTTTCTTTACAAAAACTCAAATACCCCTTCGTGAAATTTAACATTGGTTGCTTCAAAAAGATTACTTGCCCTTTCTTTCTGCTTTTTCAACTATATCAAACCTTGATACGCTGTGCTACAGACAGCATTTTGTATTCTGTTTGTTGAGTTGGTGAATGCTAAATGTCTCATAAAAGGTTCTTGAGGAGAAAGAACCAACCGGTTTCTCATTCATGTTAGCTATGGGGTTATCAAGACTTTGTAACTTCTTACTCTCAGAGGCAGCAGCCAGAGAAAAGGAAAGCGGGCCAGATTTGCAGAATTGGGGGGAAAAAAAACCAGAAGTTACCATTTATTGCTATAGCTATAATCTAATTTGCTGTATCATTCTTCTGGCTGGAAGGTTTTGTATTCTCATGGTGCACTGTGGTTCCATTGTTCTGAGGCTGTCAAAAAATGAGGGGAAACCTAGAGGAAAAGATACTGACATAGGAGTAGACAGTAGGCTAGCTGCTGTCTCTCCTCGGACATCCATGCCTGGATTCCAAGGGTGAAATTTTGACTCAGAGGTTAGACTATATGTCTGTTAGTTTGGTTTCATGTTATTTAGAGCTTGTTTATGTGAATTTGTAAAACTGATTATACAAATTCAAGAAAGAAAAACCAATCAAGAAAACTGTTGAACACAAAAAACCTCACTTTGGGCTTGAAAATTCTGAGCACCAAATTGCAAAAGAATATTCCAAAGAAGTGTAGTTACATGCTTGGTCTGACCAGATGTGCTCCCCTGGGTATCGTCTCTTGGACGCCATTGGTGATAGGATCTTTAATCTGACCTTATATGCTCGTTATGTTATTGGATGGATACTTCTTTTACAGTTAAAATACAGCATTTTGCTGCTCCTTCCAGGCAGAAATCAAAATTTCACAGGTAACGTTACATTGTTAACAAGTGTAAGGCACACAGCATGGACCAAACTGCAAGGGGCTCCCAGAGACAGCAAAATGTACTTCTCTCTTCTCACGTTGGACAAGCTCTGTTGTTATCCTCTGCTCCCTCCCTATAATTAGCTGTGAGCACATGGACAGGGTATTTGGTCCCTCCACAGTGATAGCCTGCTGTGCCTCTCCCAAAGATGCATGCTTGTAAAACAGGCACCATTCAGTCCTTAGAAGATTTCTATGAATTCCCACCTCCTTCCCCAGCACTTTCGTGTAAGCATGTCAGTGCACAGCTGCCCTGTTAGCTTTCCTTGTCAGCTGGAAAAGGGATGAGCTAGTTTTGAGACTACGTGGCTACAGACACCTTGGTTACTGGCTGGAGATCCCAGTTCAGCATCTCATGCTTCAGGTGCGTAATCCCCATCTTCTTTTGCCTTTCCCTCATAAAAGAAAAAGAGCAGGTATGCAAAGGGCCTAACATTTATGCAGCATGCAGAGGACTTGTTTGACGGTTAACTGAGGCTTATCTGTAGGACAGTGCCAGCAACAGCTATATCTTACCATTCAAAGACATAAGAGTCAAGGCCTCTGTAATCCATAAGATTGGTTGAAAAATATAAAATATGAATATGTCTACATAGTTATATAAAAATATAAATATTAAAATGTAGCAACAGGACATTTAGGGACATGTTTGTGTGATCTTATGAGCTGATGTGGACTTCTCTACACATACAGATGTTGTGGGTCTGTAGTGTCCCACTCAACTGCTTGCTCACTAACAAATGAACTCATAAGTTCAAACGGTTACAGCACAGATGATAAAATAAAGGCGTTATCAATCTTCTGGCAGAGTTCGGCCAGTTTTGCCTATCATGTATCTCCATGCTGCTGGGTTTAAAAAAAAAAAAAAAAAAGGACTTGACAGTGGGCCTTGGATACTATTAGCCAACAACAGTGTTGCTCAAGTTAGTGAGCCTGT